CTTGTAAAACAAAGTGTATTCAAGTATTGTAAATATATACTTGAAAAAAAGAATGGTCCTCAGTTATCCACTTAAAAGCTTTAAGCTCCCATAGCTGTAAAGCTATTGGTGGTCTGGTCTTGAGTTGAACATTAATGAAAACGTTTTCTATTACAATTAAAATTAAATCCATCCATATATTACCATTCCATAGGGCAAACTTCTGCTTTTGGGTAAATTACAGAGGGATATTATTACAATGTTGTTAAATGCATGCCACAATAACACACAGGATTTAATGCAATTAATCCATCTGTAGAATGGATCAGTCGAATAAACCAAAGAATGCAATCTGATATTAACCTAGCCTTTAGCTTGTGAACATCCACTGAAGTTTGTAGCACGTATTCCAGACTCACAAGGACAGATCTGCTCTTTTTTAAGTAAAGGCCTCTCAACTACTTCCAAAATTGTGAAGTCTTATCAGTGTTGAATAATTTAGAGTCACAACTGACTGGAAGGGCAGGCTGACTAAAAAGATAACCCCCCAAAACAATAAAATAGCAAATATGCTTTTCCTGAGATTAATGTATTCAGGTTCTGAGACAGATTAAATTTAGAACAGATAATGTGAGTGAGAAACTGTTAAAACTGAGGATATTTTTCACTTATGTAAGTTAGAGGTTTCTATTACTGCTGGAACTGCAAACACAGCCGAGACAGGGTCAGAAAACCCTGCAGCTTAAGTACAGAAGCTTCAAGGCAAGAAAGAGTATAAAAATAAATTCCAAAGGGCTTAATAACATATTGTATAGAGGCTGGATATTCTAGTGTCAAAAGGAAACTGTTGGCTCTTAGATCAAAAACTAATTACCAAAAAACAGTAAGATCCTTTGTTTTAGCTAGATAGTCATTCTATAACCCACTGGGGTAATGGTTTCTACTAACATCCTGAATTATAGCTAATTTACAGTATATAAATGTACATATCATTTACAATATAACAGTTAAACCAAAATTCTTTTGCAATGAATGTGGTTAAACCTGCAGTAGCCTGATCCAAAATCCACTAGGAACTTTTTACTTGACTTCAAAGGGATTATTATCAGCATTTTAGTGAACTTCTCCTACCAAAAAAATGGGGAGAGCTGTACCTCACAGCTCACTGTCAGGACCATTCTTTACATTGAATCGAAGCTATTCAGAACCCACAGAAAGTCCACCTCTTCAAGTACTGAAATAAGAAAACCTTCCGGAGCTTACCACATAGAACACCCTTTGATTCTCTCTGCTTCAAGAAGAGATGGGGAGAAAATATGTCTAGTCTTTCTTAGTTTCCATCCTAGAAGATTTTATTTATGCATTAGTCGACCTTTTTAGCTGTTAGAACCATCTTGCTTCAGCAGTTAATTAACACAAGTGCCATAATTTAATACAGTTAATGCTACTTGATGCCCTTTAATGTACCTTCCATTAGTGATATTATTGTAGTATTACCCTGTAAATTAAAATGAGATCAAGACTAAGAGAGGCTCTCTTTAATTAAGGTACTGGCACACTACATTGCCCATTATTCACTAGAAGAAAAAACCACCCTGATTTAGTGAAGCAGACCATCCGTAAGTCAGAATTAGTTCATGTAGATTATTAGGTCTCTTGAATAATGTGAGCACAATGGGGTTGCTGAAATTGCTAACAGCCATGTTTCCTTTTTTTTTCACTATCTGAATAAACATACAATGAAAGTGGTAAATTGAAGATGAATAAACGAGTGGTAATAGAAGAGGCAAAGTGTTCATCAAGAGTACACAGGTTTTCATCTCTAATACAACATACATCAGGCCTATTTCAGAGCCAAATGCAATGGAACGATGAAGCAAATACATTAAATGGGAAAATCATACATTAAAAGGGAAAATCTCCTATCTTTATTCATTGTGAAGTATTAAACTCCACACCCCAGGATCTTGCATATTAAATATGACAGCTTTAAGATAGATATTTTTCACTCTCATTGAATCTTAAGATACAATATCAAACAACTTACATTGTATGCTGCCTTTAAAAATAAGCTATTACGAGCTTTCGTGATTTTAACTATATTAAACTTACAGTTTTTTTTTTTTTGTAAGCCAAAGAAATAGCTTCAAATCACTAACATCACTCATCCACCACATACCAAGCTCTTTGGTAACCTCCTTTTGTAGCCTGTCCTCATGGAACAGTGTAGTCTAGCTTTTCTAAATGCATATAAATATTTTGACTTCAAAAACCAGAACACCAGCCTTTTTGGCAAAAAATTATTATACTAATTCCCAGTTAACAGCCTGGATTCACATGGAATGGCTAGAAAGTTCAGCTGAATCAGGAACACCAGCATAAAACTACTTGTAACCCTTATTCCCCTCTATCAAGTTTCCACACTTACTTATTGTTCAGGGAGCACCAGATAACCTGAATGTAATGCTCATCTGGAGAGTCTTCAGGGTGGCCCCTACTGGGAAACCCCAGTAGAGACCAAAAAATACTTAAAGCTGGATGACCATGGGCCTATTGCAAGCTTATCTTTGGCATGACCAAAGAATCAGGGGATGTGTACTGCAACCCCACATCTACTTAGCAATAAGCAATCCCTTAAAGTATTTAACAAGGATGGCGCATTACATATTGAAGAAAAAGACCCCAAACCCCTAAAGAGGTGTTTTTCACATTAGCAGAAGAGTGATAAGAATTCTCATGAATCTGATCTAGTGAAGTAATATTACATATCAGATAGCTTTTAAAGCATGTGTCTGATTACTGTAGCATTTAGACAACAAGCATCACCATCAGATAAGTTCTCTGTACAGTCACACTTCAATTTTATAGATAATTTTTGGAAAGATTACTGAATCCCAGATGTGTTTGGCAAGTTTCTGTTTCTAATTTGCATGAAATTCACTCTTTTTTTTTCTCCTTCAAATGCTTTCTTTGATAAGGCACTGATACTGAAGTCAGACTAAATTCCAGCGTTCAGGGGTTTCCAAATGGGGAGTAGCATTTCCTTTAAGTTTAAGGAGCTTCAAATCCCAAGCTTTAGTATTCTCTCTCAGTACATCTAACCTACTTAGAGCATTGGAGAAAGGATACACATTAAGTAAAATCTATCTGTTAATTTTGATACATTCTCATTAATATACTAAACCATTTCAAACACTGTCTTAAGCTGTCCATGAGCCACAAAGCCCTATCAACAGACTTCTGAACAATATTACTTTATAAACAGTATAACTAATAACAGTTACAATAAGAATTATTTAAACACTAACATTTACCTTATAACCTTTATAACGTTATATACCTTATAACGTTTTCAATTCATGCTTCTCTATGTATGCATATGTACTTGGTGTGGACACAAAACTCTGCAGCTATGTGTTGAATATATGGTCCTAAGAAACGTATTTTCATTTGATATTAAAATACTAAAATATCAGCACTGCAAAAGTACTTATGCATTCAAATCTGTACATGGCGCCAACTCTTCTTTTATATAAACTTAGGTGAATATTTTTCAATAGATTATGTCACAGTAATTTGATTCTATTTCAATTTCACGTATTGATTTTTGTATCATGGAAATGCTTACAAACATGAAAGGCAGTAGCCTTCTCTATAAAAGAGGTAGAAAATGGCAAGCTTAAGTCACCAAAGGAGTAATTAAAAATACAATCTTCAATGTTTTAAATAATCACCTTCTTTAACTTTCCCATTCCTGAGCCTGCCAAAAATACCTTGGCCTTCCAGGTTATATTAGCTTTTATTTTTGTACTCAGTAAAAATATTCATATTGCATTGATATGTAGTTCCTTCACAAAAATTTTAAAAGTATGATTTGAACTCTCTATAGCAGATATAGGGAAAAAGGAAAAGATACATTAGAGAAGTGAGTGAATTGCTAACAGAGAAGGTCCCATTTATTTCTTCTGAAAAAGCTGGTATCCAAGATACATGTAAAGGACATCACCCCTCCTGCTTGAGGTCATCAGTCAATTATTAGTTTGAGTTCTGAAGAAAATTTCCCGATAGGAATGTCATTGTACAGTTGTTATTTTTGGGACTATGACACCTGATACCAGCCACTGCTTGCCACAGAGGGACTATTTGTCTTAAACACAGTTGAATAATAATCTATCTAATATTCAAATCAGTCCTATGCTCTCCAAAGCACCTGTTGTTTTTTTTTCCCTTTTACTTCAGCTTCACTGCATTTCAGAGCTGGTTAAAGTACAAGGAACCGACTCTAATCTCTGTGGCCTTCTTTGTACAATGCACAATTCACCCTGGTGGAAAGGTTCCATGCAAAGGCTGTTGTATCAGTTACATATTACATTAAAGGCCTGAAAAAAATCAAATGATAAAACAGAATCCCTCCCTTTAGTTAACTAACATCAGCTCAGGCTCCAACTGTATAGAAACAAAAAATCGAGAAGCAATGGGCATAAACTGAAACACAGGGAATTTTGCATGATCACAAGAAAACACTTCTTTACTGTGAGGGTGGTTGAACACAGGAACAGGTTGCCCATGGAGGCTGTACAGTCTCCATCCTTGGAGATACTCAAAACCCAGCTGGACATGGTCCTGCGCAGCCTGCTCTAGCTGACCCTGCCTGAGCAGGGGGTTGGACCAGATGATCTCCAGGGGTATCTTCCAGCCTCAACTATTTGGGGATTCTGTGAAAACAGAATGAACGGCCCTGCAAAGTGTCCTAATGTCAGGGTGAATTCCTGCACCAATGTACGAAACTGTTAATCTCTTAAGAGCTGAGGTACTTCCCAGAGCTAGTGACAGGGAACAGCCATTATTTAGTACTGCTGAGTCAGAAACTTCTGGTATTTTCAGAAACTTATTTCACTGAGCCATATTTCTAGTGAACACACTTGTGTAGAAATTGTTGCCATGTTTGGGGAAATAAACAGTTTTGAATAACCTCTAAAACAAATACATATGCCTGTTCCTAAAGGTGTATATTCTCTTACCTTCCGTATACCCTTATGTCTGAAATTGCATAAAAGTAGCGTGCCAGGTGTTGCTCATCTACATATACTTCTCCAGTGGCTGGCCTAAGCAATCGTATCCTCAGATCAGTGACGGTAAAGAAATCTCTTAACTTCTTGGTTGTGTCAAGCTGGCCATAAAGAGAAGCCATATTATGAAGCCGAGGTCCAGCAAAGAAAGCAAATCTATCTTTGATTTCAAAGTGGATTATTTTACTATTTGTCATGTACCCAGTAGAGTATTCTTCTGTGCAAATGATTTCCAGGACTGTGTGCTGTGATAAATCCCTCACTGATTTTGGATCCATGTGGAAAGCATCTAAGCAGTCTGTGGCATAATATTGGTAGGGCTGCCATGTTCGTCCGTAGTCCAGTGATTTCTCCAGGATCATTTGGTCTGGACGGCCAGATTCAAACGTGATAACTATGTTATCTGTTAGCTCAATGGTTTTGTTCCAGGAGAGAGTAATATTAACGTGAAGAGGCTTTGGATAATCCTTCCAAGTTGTGGACTGCCAAAATGTGGAGGGATGTCTTCCTTCAAGATCAAACATCAGTTCTGGAGGATGAGCCAGTTCTTGGGTACTCGCATCACATTCATTATTGCACATGTAGGGATTCCCCTAGAAAAGAGCAAAACATTGTTACAAGGAGCACTGTATGGATGACTATGACACATAAAGATGTTTCTTCTTTGGCCCATAAGAATTGCTTCTTTTTCTTTAGGAGGGAAACCAAGAAATAAAAAATGAATGTTTGCAAATCATACCTTTATCTTACCCAGATTTCTCCTGTACAGTTTATTTGTCAAATTAACTGCCCCCCAGCACACACTGTGTCTGCACACACACTGAGTACCTTTGCTTCTGTAATGTAAGTATTTTTCTTCATGTGTTTTAGAGAAAGAATTTATTTACCCTGAACGAGTTTGACCAGTAATCTAGTCACAAAAGACCAAGAAAAATGAGCAAGTGCCTAACAGCCCCATAACTCTGACTCTTCTTAGAAAGAGGCAGCAGCCGAGGAGAATGTCTTTTTAAAACCAGTACATTCCTCAAGAGCTCAGTTCATAAAAAAAAGTCATTTTTAGGCCAAGTGTTTTGGAGTCAGCAATGTAGCCCCTATGTACTCTGCATCAAAAACATCCAATGCAGCTTCATGCTTACTTTCACCCTGGGCTTAAATTTACCATGCTTAACTGTATTCCCAGTCTAGCAATGCCTTTCCTTAAAACATTTACACTCGTCACCAAAAGTCCTTAGAAACATAGTGCGCTACAAGCTCTGGGGTTTGATTCTGATATCTGCCACCTTATTATAGGGTAGCAAAGTATTTCAGGAAAGACTTTTCACCAGGCACTGGCTCCAATTTATCAGGACAAGATAATCCACCACTTGACTAGGTGGGAGATGTCAGCGGCTGTCAGCGGATGGAACGCTGCCGAGGTGGCTGGAGGTCTGAACTGTGGGCTGAGTTAAAAACAGCAACGAAAAAGCCTTGCCAATAATGCACAGCTTTTACGGCTACTTGTCCTCTGTAGCAAGGTGAAAGTGAATTATTCTCTTCTTAGCCTTTTGATGCATTAACTTGCAGACTACAATCTCTTGCTTCTTCACAAAGGCTACTTTGTCTGCAGATTGGTGGATATCTTGCAGCAGTAGCCAAGATTTCATACTTTGTAGGCTGCACTGAATCACATCTATCTAATTTAGGATTTCAACAGTACGTTAATATTTGGCTATTGTTCATTCTGTATTTGTTTCAGAGAACAATCACTGCTTTGTATCTTTCACTGTGTGTTAAATACCAACTGTGGAAGAAACTAAACCTTTTTTTTCATTGATAGTCAGCGCTGTTGGGGAACAAGTTGCCCAAATCTATATTTAGGAATGTTGAAAATGGGCATAATAAGTGTGGCTGCTATTGACGTTAATCAGAGTTCTCCTCACCTACGCTGATGGTGGAACAGGCATGATAATCAAACTGTTTTTTTTTTTTTAATAATTACAGTTATGCTTCTCTCCATCTCAAGGCCTCAGGGCAATGAAGATATTTAGGGTCATCCGATGTGTGAAATGAGTTTCAAACATGAGTTTCTACATTGGTCACTGCTATACTCCTTGACATACTGCCATGAAATGTAGGAAAAAGGACTTAAGCATTCACTTTGACCTTCCCAGAGGCAACTTCCTCTTACTCAGAAACAGAAATATTTTTTTCTTTTTCTCTCTCTCTTTCCCATTAATACAGCTGAATCTGAAAACTGACAACAATTCATTGGTACTCAAAGTAAAAAAAAAAAAACACAAAAGGGCTATTTGAAAAGCAGAACACCACTTGTTAAACTGACAGATTCTAAAGATGCAGCTATAACTGAAAAATATTCTGTAAAGTGTATCTATAAGTCCCTGTTACAGTTTTCCTGATTTCAAACTCACAGTTACTATTTCTATGCCTCCCTTTTGACTAAAACAGAGAAAAGCAAATAAAAAAAATGTTTCAAGCTGAATAGATAAATCGCTTACTTTTTTATATTTTAAGCTCAATTTGATATATCAGACACAAATGCAAGGATTTTCCACTTGTCTAGGCCTTTTCTTTTGCCTGGGGAGGATATACGTATTGTAAAATCCGTAAAGTTCTACACGCTTTGACTATATATAAATATGACTTTTGCAGAAAATGTTCAGTGTTACATAAATCACACTTTTCTGAAATTTTCTTGAAAAATCTGGTCACGTCAACGCCAGTCAACATGGAGCTGTCTCCATACCTGCAATGTACATACTGTTGTTATCTTTTGGCAAAAACTAATTCATTGGGAGGTCACAGGTATCAAAATATGACAAATAAATGCTACTGGATAGCAAGGCATGTGTATTAAGCAGTGCTAAAGGATGACTTTGGTTTCCTACAGCACAAGCAGTAAGTGTGCTGCGATTCTTCCCATTAAAAACTAAAGCTGCTCTGATCCATTCAACCCTGTATACTGCAGGAGACATGTTTTGTGACTTGGAGTGGGTAACCTAGATTTTGTGGGACGCTTTTTTTCTTTCTGTATATGAGTTGATCTCCTTGGCCTTTTTTCTTTTTTCTTTCCTTTTTTTTTTTTCTTTTTGCCTTTTCCTTTTTAACAAAAGCTGAGGTTCTAATATAGTCACAGAACTCTAGGAGTTGGGCTTTAGTAAAACACAAGCCATCACAACTGCAGTAAGATCATGAAAGCTGGCAGCAATAAAAGTATCTAAAAGAATGGTACAGTGAATACTGAAATTTAGCATTGGCTTGCTACCAAATCCTAGCGTACACTTCTGTGGGCATAAAGCTGATAGGGAAAGACAACACTATCCTAATCAATGGCAGAGCATAGTGAGAAATGGATCAGAATCACAGTACTGTCCTGCACCTGAATTTGCACCAGTGGCACAACCCTTTGCTAAAACTATTTTTAAGGAAATCACCACACATGAGAATCCTAATCAAAAGCTTCAGACATACACCCAATAAATTGAATCACTCTTTTCATTTTATAGCACTGAATTCTCTTTTAAGAAATGAATGATTTGAAGACACCAAAATAATCTGTGCGAAGTTCAGTATTTTAGAGAGAAAAATCAGTATCGGTAAGTCAATAAAATGACTGTCCTGAAATCTAACAGGGGGAGGAGGAGAGAAACGAGGACTATAGTTGAGTTGACCATTGCCTATTGATGTGACAGTCACTGACATGATTTTTGAAATATTTAATGTGACTGATCGTTGCTTCACAGGCATAGAGTCAGATTCCCATTTCCTCTGTCAACAACTTGGCTTTAAATGCTTCTAATTCATATTAAATAGCATTTATGTGGTAAATCATATTTATACTACCAAAACACTATAAAGTGGTCTTATCCTACATGCCAGTCCCTCAGGACACATTAGTATGAAAATAATTAATTTAACTGGGATTAGTTACATATTTTAATGTCTTCACCTCTGTTATAATCCTCTTTAAGGCCTCTACCTCAGTAAAACAAATACAACAAAGAGAAACTTTCCCTGATTTGTCAGAACTAAGCATATTTTTTCTTGGGAACATCTAAGAGATTAGAACATTAGCAGTAATTTTGTGACCAGCAGGCAGCCATAAATAGATCTTAATTTAAGCCCTTCCAAGAAACAGCTCTTCAGCTGGACAAGTGGAAAATATTTCTAACTTTTAAAAATGATATTTAAACCATTAAAGGATTTATGAATAATTAAACACTAATAAATTCTTCTAAATATTATACTGCCAATTAGGATAAAAGGTTGCTGCGGCTTCCCCTGGACCACTACCTTCTAAAAGAAACCTATTATTTTGCTCTAAAATAATTGGAGATTGCTATTAAACAGCTCCTTGCATGCAGTGAAATTAAGTTGCTACTATTTTATTTTATGCTACGCATGGAATTCAGAACATTACCAAAAATTCTGACATGGTTGAAACGTTTTGGTTTGAAAAAAAAAAATACCTTGGTTGGCCTAGCAGCACTGCAAGTGCACGCGTTTGTATCACACAGTGTGACCAAGTTCAGACGTGACTGGAAACAGCACAGTTAGGTGACAAGCTGTTGATTAGGATTGACTGATTCCAGTAGGGTTTCCCGTCAATTAGCTGAATTTAGTTTGTTTGAGCACACAGTGATGAGGTCTGTTTGCGTCAGCCCGCTTGAACTTTTGTAACAGTGTCTGAATTGCTTAACATTTTGCAAAGTGGCCCCCCCCCGGCCACACAGCCCATCCACTTTGCGTTTCCCACGAAGGAAACCCCCACTGGGAGCTGGCCTTATGCTGGTGTGGGCTCCTTCTCAGTGGGGTAATTAACATGTCTTGCCCACTGTAGCTCTGGTGACAAATAGGATGGTGACCCTAAAATAAGCATTGACGATAAAAGCAGAGGTCTAACAGTAGTGTGACCTTTGAACATTAAAACAGAATATACGCTGTTGTTGCAGGTCCTGTTTAAGGGTTAAAATCTGATTGCTCCCTCTCAGACGAAGCCTCCCATCGCCCATCACAAAGATCCTTCAGTGGCATATACAAAGGCTTAGGGCTTGATTGAAGATGTTGCCTCTTTCAATCTGCTTCCTGGCCACACTAACACCTTGTGGACTTTTTCACTCAGGAACAAAGACAGAGGGCTTAACCTTTCTACAGCGTGAATATTGGAAGCTGTATCACAGATTACATGCTGTAATAGACACCTGGCTAAACTCCTACAGAGGATTATAACTTGCATTTTCAAACTAGTGACGGCTGCTGAGGTCAAGCAGGCCGAGATTTTAAGAAGGAGCAAAATAAATTTTCAAGAAGCAAGTCACAGCAACTGATTTTTATACTGCTGCCTCAAGATAGTTAGCTCAGATGTACTAGACAAGAAAAAATATAGCCTGATTCAAGTTTGGACTGAGGTAGTACAGTAAATTACTGCACTGAAGTAATACTTTTGGAAATAGAGTATTTTTTTTTTTCCAAGAGATCATTACAAGTACTTCACTCGGTCCCATACTATACATTGTAGATGACTACACAATAATAGGAACACCAAAACGCAGCAGCTTACGTTTTCCATGTAATTTCTAAACAGGAATTACTTGTT